AAACCCTTTCAGCCTTCGTAAGCTAATTGTTTCTGGTTGTTGTTATTATTATTTTACCTACCTGTAGAATGTGTGAACTGAATTTTTCGCCAATCAATTAGATCAATTATTTCATAAGCAATTGATGCTGTTTTGCTTTGTGCTGCTTCCACGGTTGCTTGCTGACTTGATTATTTGCTTGGCTGCTGCATAATTCCCACTAAAAGGTCCATGTGTATGCCATGTTCCGCGTTCAAAAGTTAATTTTTTACTTTAATTGAGTGTAAGTGTTCACATTGAAGCAAAATTAAGTTGATTTAATTAAGTAAATGATGGAAAATTTCTAGGATTTAAATATGAAAACAGAGTGTAGCGCCACCTATTTCTCGCCTTGATTTTAATTGTGTTTATTAATAAAGTTACGCATACGCCCTGTTGTACTAATGAACGCGGTTGTAAGGGAATGCTATATTTCGCTAATTTTTATTTAAAAAATAAATATATTTTATTTAAACTTTTTTGTAAATTGAATTCTGAAATTTCTCAGAGAAAATATTTTTAAATTCGCCAATGTGTCATGCCATTACATTTCCGTTGGCCGCAGGGAAAAAAGTGCGACTGCGTTATCAATAGATCTCATGGCATGATCATCCCAATTGAAACAGAAAATGCAGCGTGTCTTAGCCAATGCCATGAACTATAGTTCGGACGAAGAAAAACAAAAGAGCCAAAATTTGATTTTTGGCAAACTGTTTTTCAAACCAAAAAAATTAACTTTTTGCTAAAATTTTTTTTTAAATTTAGGTATGACTGAAAGAAAATAAATCCTTCATGCATTTCCTTGTAAATTGTATCTGAAAGGCCTGTCCTAAATGACAAATATTGGTTTTAGTTTTCAAGAATTTTCAACAACCGAAGCTGTGAAAACATATCACCGCATTAGGCAACAGTCTTCTTTAGAAAAGCGATTTTTCTATACTATTTTTAAGCTTAAAAAAAAAGAACAATTTTAGTATAAAAAAAATTGAAATTTTTCAATGTTGTAATTACATTTACGAAGAGGCTGCAGTCAGAACTCGTTTCGTTTTGTTACTGCCTGATCCTTTTACAGAAAAAATGAGGGGTTTATTTATTTTTCATTTTTCATGAATTCACTATTTTTTACATGCAAGGAAGTTAGTTAAGGAAGCCCGAAGATGGAGTAAGAAAAAAGTGCTTTACGAAAAAAAAATCCATATGCTTCGAATTGATTACCGCGTGAAAAATTATAACCTATTTCATTTTTTTTTAGTAACTTCTCATATGTAATAAAATCGCTTAGACCTTAATTGGTGTCGTATTTATAATTAACACCGTCCATACTGGTGCTGAATTAAAGCAGCTACTGAATTTTTTTTTTTTATTTGAACAAATATTGTTATATTTGGTTTTTAAGTGTTTGTCCAAGTGTAAGGAAAAATTATTTCATATTTATTATTTTGTAATGTTGCTGTTATATTTAATTTTATTCCATAATTTCTTGAACTGGAAAAATACCTTTTTCTTTTTTGAAAGAAGATAATTGCGAAAGGAATTGTGAGTGGTAGAGAGTATAGCTCATTCGAAAATCACCACGTTGTTTATTCAGCAGAACTATATTCAGATAGCCTTGTTCGAATTAAATCCCAACTCTCTTTGTCTGTTATTTGTCGCTCATTCACAAATGAATTTTAAAGAGCAATGCTGCGCTCTCTGCTGTGTGCTGTATATAAAAAGGAAAAAATAATGCATTCCTGCCTGCTGCTACTGGCTATTTACAATAAAAATTATAAAATTAGTTATTTGCATGATTGATTTTGAAATTAAAATGAAGAAAAGTTTAAACTAACATGAATTAAAATTATTACTAACAAAATCTCTTATGTGGTCACAAGGAAAAATAAATAAATTTTAAATTGTAATTTTAATTAATTTTTACTTTATCTTGTGAGGACTTAATATATATTTTAATTAATTAATCTATTTATTTATTTTATTTTTGACACATTCATATTTATTATTGGAAACATTAAAATATCATTCCTATTTTTTTACGCATATTATCGATGGTTTAAATAATTATTTAAAAACTGACCACCATTAGACTTCAGCGGAAAAAAATTTATTTTCTTTTTTAATAATTTATTTTATATTTTCTGTATATGCGTAGTGTAGAAATATTAATCTATATTCGTGGATATTATTTGTTCCACAATACGATTCATAGCTTTAGATCCTAAGATATAAATATACATATATTTATCTATTGAATTATAATTAAGCTTACTGATTAGCTTAAGGCTAGGAATGTTAAGGTAGTTTGCCAGATAAGTTTTCCTTATACCAAGCACTAAGGTTGCAATAATTGGGAAACATTGTATTTATAAAAAATTATTTTATTCTTAAAGAATATTTATTCCACTAAAATATAATTCATTATTTACTTTAGGAGAGAGAGGGAGGGAGCCGAATGAGGGGGGTGATTAGGCTTATTGGGATCGTAACTTAGTGCCACTATTATTAGACAATTAGTTCTTGAGCTAGAATATTGCGCCCTTATAATGTTCCTTGCCAAGCAAGGAAAATCAGATGCGATCATAATGAGTCAGATGTCATTGTTTTACGGCGAAGTTTGTCCGGGCGTGTACAAGTGGCACAGTTTATTTACTTAAGCAAGGGAATATCCTGAATACTACAAAAAACCGGGCATTGGCATCGAGGTGACCATGCCAGAATCTAACCAAAAATTAAAAAAAAAGTCCTCAACGGTGCTCGACTAAAGAAGAAACAACACGCAAAAATGGAATATCCGATGCAATAATTTTTAAAACACTGCACGATCATCTTGGCACGACTAAGTTCAGCGCATGGTAAGTGCCGAGAATGCTTACGCCTCCGCTAAAACAATAGCGCTTAGAGTGTTCAGTATCTTTATAATGAAGAAAGGGATGGTCTATTGAGTCGAATTGTTACTGGAGATGAAACTTTCAGTTCATTATTATGAACTTAAGCCGAAACAAGGCTCCTTACAGTGACATAAAAAGAACGCAGCACTTCCCTAGTGATTTGAGGTGTCACAGTCAGCTGGAGAAACGCATGACAGCGGTCTATTAGAGCTGGGAAGAAAAATTTTTAATCGGATATACAGATAATAATGTTTCTATAACTGTAGAATACTATGCTTAAATAGTAGATCGACTTAAAGAAGCCATTAAAAGGAGAATACGGGTAAAATTGACATCCACCAGAGTCACGTTGCGTTGGTGAGCATTGATATGTTGAATCACCCAGCCTACACCAGACTGATTATTACCTGTTTCCAAAGAATTAAAAAAAGCGCAGAGGGGTAAAAAATGTAATACCCATAATGAATGAAGGTGGCAGTTTCGTATATTTTGATGATAAAGATAAAACATTTTTTTACGCAGGTATAAATAAATGAATTAAATCATCTGAAATATGCATATTCGCACCCCTCGTACCGTCATTTTTTAAAGTAGTTAGGTACAATATTCATAAAGCATTTAAAATTAGAGTAATTAAGCTTAACTTATTTATAGCTTTTATTTTGTATAACTTAAATATTTAAAAAAAAAAATCTATTTATAAGATATTTGAAATATTAATATGTTTTTTTTTATAATTATTAGTGTTTTTTTTTTACTTTTTACGAAAATTTACTACTTTTTAAACTTTATAAGTATTTCTTTGGATTTATTCTCGTTGTTATGCCAACTGAAGGAAAATAACCTTACATTTTTCGTTTTTAGTTAATTTCTTTTCATTATTGTTTTAACATTTGATTGAAAAATAACAACTAACTAGCTTAAAACGTCTTAAGCGGCGTTTGCATTACATGCATATGTATTTTTTTTTTACTAAATATATTTATTAAACTAAAAAAAATATGTTTTTTGTAAAAATAAAAATTAAAAAAAAAAAACATACAAAAACCAAACCAAAAATTTGTCCGAACTATTTTCTTACCGAAAAAACGATACGTATTTTTCTCGTGTTTTTTTCTGATTATGATGATGATGATGATGATGATGATGATAATCACTTGATGTTGGGTATGATGAACACGTCGTGATGTTAATGATGATGATGATGATGACGATGATGATGATGATAATGGCGGTGGTGATGCCGATGAAATTGATGAATAAAATTGGTGGTGTTGACATAATTTTGACGTAATTTTGCACTTTGGTATACACAAATTTGCATACAACAATGACGATGATATTGAATATGGCGTTGATGATGATGCTGTTAATTTAACAACAAATCTTTATTATGTGGTGTCAACGTGGGATGATTGCATGTGTAAAAAAAAAATCTCTTCATACGATGTTGACGATGATGATAATGATGATTATGACTTGCAACGATTTCCACACACATATACATACACACAACCTGTTTGGCATTCGGCTGGCTAATTTCTTCTCCTTGACGACAACACTGGTGACATGGCGAACACCCGCACACCTATTGGTCTTTACCTATGGCACATCGGATTTTTTTCTTTTTTTCTCTGTTTCTTTTTTCTTTTTCTCTCTTTCTCACATGTATATTTATCCATATGACTGAACCCTGTGTATATCGTTTTTGCGAATCGGCCCAACAAAATCAACCAATCAACCGTCCGTTCACACTCGATCGATCAATCAACCAACCCGTCGACCACCCAACGGCCCAACAACCAACAATACAACCGCTACTATGAACTTGCACCCTTTGCTACTATAACAACCACGCCAACTTGCTGAATTGTATCATGCACCACCAACGATTGAATGAATGAACGCGCTTGCAATTGACAATCGTTACATTTGTGTATGCCATCACTAACAACCACAACAACAACGCCACCAATATAACCACCACCAACAACAATACCACTACCACCAATATCGCAACGTGCTCGAAACCGAAAATTGAACTTGATGATGATGCGATGCCAAATTCGCTTAACTACCACTCGCTCACGCTCACAGACAGCAAAGCCCGTCATACAAGATGATGCTGATGGCCACTTGATATATCACAACGGCGATATACTTCATCACAGATGTTCGTGACAACTTTTTGTTTTTCTTTCCTTTTTACTATATTTCCTTTTTATCAAATACATAAACATATACATAATTGCAAAAAAAAAAAAGAAAAAAAAAAAAGAAAAAAATGAAAAAGAAATAAGTATTTAAAATAAGTAGTTAAAGAATTATATATATATATATAAAAAATTACTCTTCTGCGTTATTATGTAATCGTGTCCAACAAGGATAAAAAAAAACATTATTTTAAAGAAATTTCTAGAAAATAATTAAATTTTGCCGTATTTGCACACCTGTGTAGGTGCGTGTGTATGTGAAATGCTTTAAAATGATGTTTTTTTTTATTTTGTTCATGCAAATATGTATAAAAATATGTAGTTTTTTTTTCGAAATCTTCTTAAACGCGCCTTCGCATATTTTCTCCAGTCTATTTTTTCGATTTTAATTATTTTAAATTTTTATTCTAAAATATAATTCTGTCGTCTGCATACTATTTTACACACGGTTTTTTTCTATTAATTTCGAATCGGCCTTAAATTTGTTTCTTATATTTATTTTCTATCATCTACTTAAAAAAAAAAAAGAAGATATTTAAATGGAAATTTAAATTCGTAACAACGTGTTTAAAAATATTCTAATTACGGTATTTAATTATAATATGAATTAATTTTTTTGAAAATGTCAGTCCGCAGTCGAATCGCGTCAAATAGCAGCTTAGGCCTGTAAATCAGACGATAAACAATTCCGGTTTAGTTTCTACAAAACGCATCATAAGGGCATTCGAAGTACCACTTTGAATTACAATGTTGTCCTTTTTTTGCGAAATTTCAGATAAGATCATGGCCACGCTGGGTGAGGGTACATTTGGACGCGTTGTCAAGGTCAAGGACATGGAGAGGTATGTTGCAAAAAGAACTCTTAAGTGTAGATTCATATCAATTTGCTCTTTTTTGTAATAACTAGCAGGATCCTGTCCTTCCTTTTTATTTTGTTTTTCTTTTTTTTTTTACTAATTTCATTGACTTTATTATGTCTCTTTCGCAAATCCAGGGACTTTTGCATGGCCTTGAAGATCATCAAGAATGTGGAGAAATACCGCGAAGCTGCCAAACTGGAAATAAATGCTTTGGAAAAGATCGCACAAAAGGATCCACATTGCGAACAGTGAGTGTTTTGCGATTTGAAAACATATTTTATATAAGAAAACTGACTTATATTTGTGGTTTTATGTTTTATTTATAGTTTGTGTGTGAAAATGGTTGACTGGTTTGATTATCATGGTCATATGTGCATCGTTTTTGAGATGTTAGGCCTAAGTGTGTTCGATTTCTTGGTAAGTTTGATTTTGAAATATATTTTTTTTATCTTTTATGTTGAAATATAGATTTTTTTTTTTTGCTTGAAATAAATTTATTAATTTTTAATATTTTATGTTATATTTTGAAGCGCGAGAACAACTATGAACCATATCCGTTGGAACAAGTGCGACACATGGCCTATCAATTATGCTATTCAGTTAAATTTTTACATGACAATCGCTTAACGCACACTGATCTCAAGCCTGAAAATATACTCTTTGTCGATTCGGAGTATACAACGCATTATAATCACAAAATTGTAAGTACATTTATAAATAAGTAATATTTAATATATGTAGGTATGTTATATATATTATATATATATATATATATATATATTTTTTTTTTTTTATTAGTTNTATATATATATATATATATATATATATATATATATATATATATATATATATATATATATATGTGTGTGTGTGTGTGTAACTGGCGCTAAAGTAATTTTCGGGCGAGCTCCTCCAGTTTGTGTTTTTGCGTCTTGATGTTTTCCCAACAAATCAAGGGGCCTACAGTTTATACTAATCCTCCTCCGAGGAGCTTTTATTTCATGTCAGAAATACATTCACTGCCGAGAGGCGATCGAAATCAGAAAATTCAAATTAATTTTTTTTTTATATAAATTTTCCATAACTTTTGGATGTTGGTGGCACCGGGATTTGAGCCCGAGCCTTCCGAATGTCAGTACACAATGCTAACCACTCGGTTGCCGCAGCCGAAATACTTTTTTTTTTTTTTTTTTTTTTGGAAATCAACCAAAGGGAATTAATAAGCTAAAGATTTTACTCAAACATTTTCAAGCAACTCGTAAATTTTATTATGGATTTGTTGAAAAATTTTGGCTTTTCTGTGCAATTTTATAAAATTTATTAATGCAAAATGTAAAAATCATTGAAATGCCAAAGGAATTTCGGCAAACAAAATTTAAAACTTTTATACTGCTACTCGAAATTACCAAACCACGATTTAAACAGTTGAGCAATAAATGCACTAGGTTTATAGAATACAAGAAACTACGTCAACCGTTGGCGTCACCGTACCAACATTCTCATATCGAGGCATTCACTTGGCTAGACAGTTTATCGTCTCCATCCATCGGGAAATGGCATATTTCCACAAAAAAAAAGCAGATGAAGCCTCTAATTTGTATTCGCTCTTAGACAAGAAATCTGTGCTCAGCCTTGAAAATAAAGTCTTTATTTATAATGCGACTATAAAACCGATATGGATGTATGGAATCCAGTTATGAGGCAGAGCTTGCACGACGAATCTACATATAATACAAAGGTTCCTGTCGGAAGCATTAAGAATAATAACGAGTATTCATTGAAATCTTAATATACCTATCATCAAAGAAAATATCGAAATCGTTAAGCAAAAATTTGTAGCGAAACAGCACAGGCATCAGAACTCACTAGTCTGAAGAGAAAGGCCTTACTATCTTTGTAAAGAAAAACACTATCTTAGCCAATAGTTTTTAAGATTTGATATATTATTGTGAGGCTGCTGACATCGAAACAGATTCAGTAGACAAATACAAATGTTACTTAAAAAACCAAATATTTACGTCAAGAAAAAAAAGGTAAGCAGCAATTACAGCCGTACACCAGCAATTCCGCATCATAAACTCCCTTAAAGGAAGTCAATCGTATCAGGCATATCTTCGTGGAGAAGCGACTTCACATAAAAAAATCACACAAAAAATAGTCCACAGATAACTAGCGATCTTAGAGGCCACGACACAGTCCCACAATGCGAGATAATTTCCTTCAATAAAATGACTGTTTAGTTGGCTATTTGACATGTAGCACCGTGTTAATGGAGTCAAAGTTAGACCACATCAACATCCTGCAATTCAAGCTGTCAAGCCCTTTTTGACTGTAACATTATGGCCCGCTTCATTATTGAAGAAATATAGATCAATTATTCCAAAAAGTGACTTGAGGTTGTAACGGCGTATCAACAATGTCTTGTGGATTATAACCAAATGCAACAATTTCCTTTCATTGACGTACCTATATCAAAGCAAAAGTGAGTCTTTCTTGGGAAAATCGGAATCGGTGGTCATCTGGTTTTGAGCTCGTTTACCGATTTCCTTGATCCTTGATTTCGGCTTCAGTTCTTGCGCGAGTTGGATTTTTTAACCAACTTCCTCAATAAACATATGGTTTGTGTTTTTACGTAACCTTTTATTCTGTAAACCTTGATGAAAGGGGAGCGTATCCATCGAGTATAAGCTGCTGCCACTGCCGGGCATCTAGAACTCTGGTATGAAAACTGGTTTGGAGAATAAACTCTCGCAATTATAACTTTTAAGCAATAAATTTTAATTAGTAAATCAAATAATAGAAATGATTAAGACTTGTTGTTAAAAAATAATAACCGTATTGGCAAATCGAAATATTTAATAAAAAGCATTTAGATATGTATATTGTATATAGAATTTTATTTTATCAAATACATTTTTACTATAAAATATAAATATTTTTAGACAGAATTTTCGTATAAGTTTGAAAATGTTTGAAATAACAGAAACGAGAACAATCAGAAACCCAAATTTTCGAGGCTTATAAAAAAGTTATTATCTTCTATTATTGTTCGTGTTCTAAAAAAATGTGCCATGTCTACTAAAAAACAGTAAGAAATTTAATTATGCATTAAAAATCGCCTCTTTTACTTGTACATATATTTGTATGTATACCAAAAATGTTCTTTGTTTTCATTTCTGGTAATACAATTTTGTTCGCAACGCAAAATATTTATTATATTTCTATATACAATAGTATTTGTAAATTAATTTCTATAATACCTTTTATTTTTAGGATCGCGAAGTGCGTCGCGTTAAAAACACCGATGTGCGCCTCATCGATTTCGGTTCGGCTACATTTGATCATGAGCATCACAGCACTATTGTATCGACACGTCACTATCGTGCACCGGAGGTTATACTCGAATTGGGTTGGTCACAGCCCTGTGACGTTTGGTCAATTGGGTAAGTAAATAATAATAATAATAATAATAATAATAATAATAATAATAATAATAATAATAATAATAATAATAATAATAATAATAATAATAACAATAATTTAAAGTCAAAATATTTTATATATCATTATAATGTAATTCCTAATTCATTTGCGTTATTATTTCTTTTAGCTGCATACTCTTCGAATTGTATCTGGGCATAACGCTCTTCCAAACGCACGACAATCGTGAACATCTAGCCATGATGGAACGTATACTTGGTCAAATACCATATCGTATGGCACGGTAATGCAAAGCTAAACATGTTTACATTTTCTACCGAACTGTTTACTTCATGTAATTCGATTAATGTATAGTAATCATTGTCATTACAGCAAAACCAAAACAAAGTACTTCTATCACGGTAAGTTAGACTGGGATGAGAAGTCATCGGCTGGACGTTATGTACGCGATCATTGTAAGCCATTGTTTAGATATCAAATGAGCGATACAGAGGATCATTGTGAACTCTTTGATTTGATTAAGAAAATGTTGGAATATGAACCATCACAACGGGTGACGTTAGGTAAGTTGTGTTGGGCATGCATTATGTCAAGTGTGAAAAAGTGTATTGATGAATGCATATACTTACACTTACAAAAGCATATGTACAGATATATAATATTTTGAGAGTGTTGTTGAAATTAAAACGAGCTGTATTTTTTATTTTTATTGTGTTGTCTTGTTGATGGGAAATATCGAGCCGTAGCTGCCGAAAATAACGTACAATAAAAAAAATACATATTTCAATAAATACAGTTAAGTTATAATGCTGTTTGTTTACCGATTTACTTTAAAAACAGAAATTTATAACATGTCACTTACGCCTTTTCTGCAGTTATGACTCGCTATGTTAACTAAAAATCTTACTTCATTGCTCTGAAGTTTTAAATGTATATATATCTAAAGTGAATAATATATATTACGACCGTTGATCGGTTAGTTAGGTAGACACTTGTGCTGTTTAAAGTCCAACTAAATATCATTCGAAGCTCCGTTGTCAGTTGAAACTTCGTTTATACTTTTCGATTTATTTGTACGTACCATGTCAGTTTTGTTACTTTCTGTTCTGTTCTGTGTCATTATGCGCTGGAGCAGTTGCATTTATTTCCTTGAAATTAAAGGTAGGTTACTCTGAAGCCACGTCGTAAGTACTTATGTATGTGAAAAGTAAATGTTTAAGGTGAGGGAAAAAATTCAATTGCAAAACGTATAAACATACTTACAATATCTTAAAAAATAGTCGGCAATATTTCATCTTGTCGGAGGAAAAGTGGTGAGAGTGGAAAGTTTTGGAGTATATTATAAAAGTATAGCTCTGACTCCTTGCAAGGGTATACAGCTCTCGCTGCTAAACAGAAATTCTCTTAACGAAATTTAAACAAAATTACAAAAACAATTCAATTTGTAACAATTTGAAGTATTATTTATCTTATATTTACTTTATAAGAGATTTATAGTTGGTGGGAGGTATAGCGCAGAAGCTTTTATTGCAATAATTCGGTCCCAATTCCTACGGTTTTCATTGCTTTCTATTGTTAAAAAAAATGTTGCAGGGAAAACGGTAGAACTCGTTTAAAAAAATCGTTCTGAGGTAATAAAAAATCGAAAAATTAGTAGAAAATAAAAAACCAATTTCCTCCATTTTCAGAACTTTATTAGATTTTCATTGTTGAGTTGGCAAAACTGGTAAAAAAATATTAAAAAACTAGGAAGAAAAAAACCTTTAAAACTATTTTATGACTAAACAGGACTAGAAAATTTTATGAAAAAATTAAAAGCACAACACATGTTTTCGTAAAAGAAAAAATCAAAGATGTTGACGCTATCTTTAGGGCCTCTTTTTGGGTGTAAAGACAAAAATAATTAATATATTAAAATTAATGTACTTAATCTCTCCAAAAATTAAAATAAATTCAAATTATTTGGCCCGCTGTAGGCGAGTAGTTTCTGTACGTTTTATACTTTGGAGGGTCATGGTTTCTTGTATTATTATTTTTTTTAAACGTTTATTTGTTTGTAGAAAATATCAAAACCTTCGAGTGGCTTTCTCCCATTAAAATAATGGTTTTCTCAGAAAATCTATAAGTTATAGACGATTTGAAACCATGAGTCCCTCCGGCTATGCCAATAATCGCTTCTGGGGTTACATGGGTTTGATCGCCGTATCCGGAAAAAATCGTATTCCAATTAATGCCATACGCCATCTACGATTCAGTAATTAGATCAACACTCCTTTACGGTGCGATTATGTGACGGCCGGTTATAAATAAAGCTTCAAATGCTAATTTCATAGACAAGTTGCAAAGATGTGCGTGCCTTAATGTGCATCGGTGGTGCATTAGGGAACTCGTCAAGTGACGCTCTCAATAGAATACTCAATATCTTGCAACTGGTACATCAGTCGGCAGCAATGACTGTACTTCGTCTAAGACAGTCAAATCAGTGGAATATTGGATAAATACAATTGCGTACCAAATTATATTGATCGATGCGGTACAGTTATATAAACTTATAACTACTTCGGCAAACAAATTCCCACACTCCAAGTGAACAGACTGTCCCCCATGTGGGTCTCTGGTCACAGATTCTTATCGATAATTAACTCATTGGTATGCCACAAGCCGCATCAAGTAGGACTGTTACTACAACCTGCTGCTAATCCAAACACATCTGGCTAAAATGGGATAAGAAGAGATCACAAGATACTCGTATGTACCTCTAAAAAAGTGAGGCTTGTCCAAAGTAACAGGAATTCGGACAGAAACTGTCGAGGCTCATTAGATAATAATAATAGCTGAATAAAGAAGTCTCTGATGGTCAAGTTTTTGCGGCATCATATTGGGTCTGAGTCAGGTCTAAGTGTATCCGATACTTTCAACACAACCTAACATAAACAAGAACTTTTACAAAGAGAAATGAAAAAGTGAAAATCGAATTTTTGGTTTTTTTTTGCAAAAAATTCAATTTTTTTTTTTTTTTTTTTGTAAAATAAGCTCAACATAAATACATTGAAAAACTAAGCAATCTAAATCTCTGTAAAATTTCTTCACGTTCGGTGGAGTAGTTTTCGAGAACACAGCGACCTTTAAAGACACAGTTTCGAAAAACAAACCATTTGAAGTTAAAACGCCTAGCCTGACTGCTTTAATTCGAAACGACTTGAAAGCTTAGTATAATATTCTCTAAATATTGTAGAAATTAATTTAAAATTAAAAATATTTTGAACTGTGAAATCCCTGTAATCCCTTAAGCGATTATAAAGTGATGAATTTTCAAATTTTTATAATCAGAAAATACTATATATGTATACCATATATATATTTTCAACAACACATCTTTCTATTATGACATTATTAACTGATTTTTTAATTACTTTACTTACTTTCATTTATCCTTATCCAGGTGATGCACTACGCCATCCGTTCTTCGACAAATTACCACCACATCAACGTGTTGGTGAAATGGGCAACAATAAGCAGGCCATATCATCTGGCAGCAGCAGCAGTCGTGAACGTTCGCACAGTTTGTCAAGATGAGATTTAGCGCGATTTGGTTATTGTTAATTAAAATTAGAACTGCAGCAGTGAACAGCACAGACAGCACACAGCACATAGAAAAAAGTAAATATACATAATAGAAGGAAATCAATAATGAGCAGCAGCAACACCAACAACAACAACAACAACCAGCAACAATTAGTTAAGCAAAAATATAAAGGGAGAAAATGAAAAGTATATAGGTATATGAGAAAAAGCAAACGCAGAAAAAAGTCTGCGGCAAGCATAATTACGATGCACGAGACCAGCAACAAGAAAATAAAATCAAACAGCGAATAATGACAACGGACGCAGCGCAACAATAACCAAATTTAACATATACATAACATGTGTAAGAGCAACCAAATGCCACAAAGAAAGAAAATCACAACGCATTGATGCATCATTGATCATCTAGCAAACATAAACAGCAATTAGATAGCTGAATAAAGACAATAGCTACGCAAATTTTGCATAGAAAAACAAGTAGCAGCGACCAACAAATACATAATGAATGCAAAATAAATTATAAAAGCTAACAATTGGCGGATGAAAATGCATAAGTTGTTACACAAGCTACATTATATGTATATACGAGGGGCAGTACTTTTTAAAAAAAGATTTCTATTGAATTTTGCATTACACACTTATTACATATTGTATGAAAGTAGTAGAGTAGGTTACATATGTCAAACTGATTTTGATATAGCATACAATTGTGTTAAACATAAGCCGCTCAAATGCATACACATGCAAATTTTAGTGCATTGGCATTTCGATTTTTGCGAAAATGTTCTAATTTCTTAAAACAGATTTAATTCTTCTAATTAATTGAAGTTACATGCCATGCGTATATATGTTTGTACACTTCTAGTTTATCATACATATATATGAATATGCAAGTTTTTTTTTTTCTTAACTGACATAAAAATACTCTTATGTATATGTATATATATTATATTTTGTAATTTTACACTTTAATTTCTAATGCCGTTAATTAAAATGCCACCTTTTTGCATGCGTGTGTATGCGCAAGCGTGTAAATAGTAGAAGTGAGAAACAATATGAAATCGCATTGAATCTACAAACTTTTATTTTGTAACTTAAAGCACACAAATACATAGTGTATGGTGGAAAAGAAGAAATAAAATGCTTGAACGCGCACCTTCTCTCATAATTAACAAAATTTGTGTTTTTGAGTTGATTGCATTATTGCAACATTATTTTTAATTTATTTTTTTTATTTGTAATACAAACTTTCTACTCAGTAATTTTATAAAAATTACAAATATTTTCCATAAAAAAATTTTGACTTAATTTTCGATATTGTTTCTGGCAATAACAGTTGAAAATATGTATTGTTAATTTCTATACAAACCTTTGTAGTCACGAATAATATAATCATTTTTGCGCCAAGCAGGATTTACGTGGCTAACAGTCAAAAATTGTATACAATATTTTTTATTTTTATTTTTTTTATTTTTTTTAAATACTGAGTTCCTGTTGATGAAACTATTAAAAAAAAGTCAAAAATAAAGTGTATATGCTTGCCAATTTCTTGTAATATGAACGCGTAAGATTAGTAGATAAATATGAATATATGTACTTTTAAAAATATTGTTGTTGGTTTTCATTAAGCTACGTTTGCGTTTCTCATACACGTTTTGGAGCGTTTCAAATTCATTTCATTTTTATGTGAAGTGGTTTGTAGCAACATTACGTTCAATAAACAATTAATAACACATGCTTACATATATATTTATATTAAAACATACATACATATATACAAAGAGTCGAAACAGTCAGAAACAAACACATGCATTCGTCAAATGTTGTATATCGTAATAGTGTCACACCACAGCCGATCAGGTTTTTACGTGGTTCTATGTTGTAATTATAATTAAGAATAACCAAATCCAGTGTCGTACGTCATTGAACTACTTGCATGCACACTTACATACATATGTATATACAGAAATAAATATGTACTGTACACTTACTCTACCTTTTTAATTTGTATGTATATTTTTTTTTTTTTTGCAAAATGTACATACATATTAATACAGTAATTCATTGAACAGCAAATTAAATTCATATATACATACATGCATACAGATAAACAAAAGTAGAAGGGAAAACAAAAAAAAGTAGTTGCTTCAAAAATGTCTAAAACGAAACGCGCTGTAACAAATGCTGTTCGCTGAAGCACGTACAAGATGCATACATTTGTGTGTGTATTGTGTATTTAATAAATACATGCATAAATGCTTATGTAAAAAAATTCAAAATTATTGGTTTTCAATTCCTTACCTTTTTTTTTGTTTACACACATATATAAACTAATATACAATTGATTGCAGACTTAAAAAAATATTGCACGTGACAACAAAAAATGTGCTTTTTTATTTAAAAAAAAATCGGAATTTTATTATTTTTAATTAAAATAAAAAAATAAAACTTAAAACATTTATATTTTAGTTGAAAACATAGCGTTGTGTGTTCAATATTAAAAAAAAAAAATAAAAACTAAAAAAAAAACCAGAACTGAGCGTGTACTGTAAATGTTTAAGCCAACTAGCTAAATATAAAACAAAGCGATGAAAATTTAATGAAAAAAAAAATTGCAAAGTCAAAAGTGGTTAGAAAATGAAAATAATTGCAATGATTTTTATTAAGGATTAGTCAAATGGCGTTCATTTCAACTAAAGAAAATATTAAGACTCTGCTCTGAAACCAGCTAAGGCAAGCTGCGTAAATATTTTCGAAAAGTAGTGCTGTGACAAAGCGCAGACTTAATGAAAAATATTTAAATGCTGCAAAAGAAAAAGAAAAAAATTAAAATAAGTTTAAATTGATATATTTTTCCTAATAACTTTTGAAAACACTGAAATCAAAGCATAATAATTAAGAAAAATTTTATTTTCTTCTTCAGCGAAAGATTCGTTGAAATTCATTTTTTGTGTTTGTTGAGTGGAAATAAAAATGTTTTATGTTATAGAAAAGCCCGTCTCACTTGTGTATATATATACATATACCATAATTGCACATATTATATGTACATACATTTGTATGTATGCAACTTTGTATAAAAATTTAAAAAAAAAAAAGTTAATTAAAACTTTTACTAAAGAAATGAAAAATTCAAGTCAACAGCAAAAACGCTCATTGTTCAAAACTAAATGAAAATGCGCAAAATAATCACACACACACAAAAATACCCACTTGCTATCACCAACATTTTGTATGTACATACAAACATTTGTATATTAAATAAAAACAAAAAAAAATAATAATTTACCTAATTAGTCGTTGCTAGTTTAGTTTGTTTTGTAATTTCTCTATTGATAATTAATTAAAATTTCATTAAGTCAACATGAAAAAAAAACTTTAAGGCAGTAATAAAAAACTGGTATCTTAAATAAATAAAAATGAATTGATAAAAAAATTTACAAGCTATAAAACTATTGAAGCTCGAAATTTAAATTAATTTAATATTTTAATAAAATGAGAACTTATTAATAATATTATTAAAATGAAAAAATACCACAAACGATTACATATGTGCATACGTGTATATGCGGAAAAAGTAGTTGGGAAAAATTAAAACTTCCACTAAACGGCACATATGTACATATATGTATGCGTAGAAGAGAAATTGATTCTACCAATTTCTTACATACCTACATACATACATACATACGTATGTAAATCATTAAGTCGACGCAATAATATCTTATGAAATTCGTATAAAATTTTACTTTACTAATAATTACATTTAAACATAAATAAATATTGACATTTTCATTTTTTTTTTCCTTTTTAAATTAAGTTTTAGCTTTGTTCTAATTTCATATGCATAACCATTTAAAAACAACAATACATCAACAAACAAACAAACACACACACGTTAAACACACAATATCCATATTTAATAATACGGAAATATTATTATTATTATTATTATTATGATTATTATTATTATTATTATTATTACTATTACAATTTATGATTATAAAATGGAAAATTATTAAAAAATAAAGAATTGACAATGGAAAATTTTAAGTCAGTTTCATTTACTTATTTACTCTTTGGCATTTTTTAGGATACACGAAGGGATTAACGAAAGTTCGGTAAGCTGACCAGAAAAAAAAAGAAATTCTTTTTGTATTATTTCGTAATCTTTATCCTTTTTCGCTAATTTTTAACTTCGCTAAATAATCGCCATTGGTTTCAATGCATTTCTTAAGGGGGGAACCGGGTTTAGAACGCTGAAAATTGCATGATATTCGGCACAGTGTTTTAGGTTGCCTTACGTATGAAATGTTTCAAGTACTTTTGAAATAGGTCATAGATACATAAATCTTGCAAAAAAACACTGTTAAGCAATAACAATTCGTATTTGTTTGTGGCACTTCTCCCACGAAGAGTCTATTTTGTGCACACGATAGCGTTCGTAGTTTTCATCGGAAACATAAAAACGAATACTTTTTTGTAGCTTAGGAGTTGTTCTTCCATGTGAACCTAAGATATTTTTTAATCGTGTGTACAAAGCAGAAAATCACTGTTTTGAGAAAATCGCGTTCAAAGTTCTCGCGGCCGCTTATCAGTCTCCTGAGCGCATTGTCACTCAGAGGCCATTTCTGCGGAACGATTAGGAAGCTGATTCTGAAATTTTGTGGAAATATTTCTGAATATATTTCTAATCGAATGAGATAAGTTTCAAAAAAACGATTCCCCCCCTTAAGCCTATAGATCCACTTCTGAAGAAAGTCTTTAAAGTCTTGCTTTATAAACTTATAAAGCTCACTTTAAAAAAAGGTCTTGAATTGCAATGGGGAGATATTTAATATTAACCACCTTTTTTTTAAGGTTTTTTTTTTAAATTTTTAGAAATAACCGGAGCAAAAAGTGCCATATCCGGGGAATGTGGTACTGGACGTATTTCTTCGATCCCAGAGATCGCAATAAAATTATTCGTTATTTCAGCAGTGTGGTATGGCGCGTGATGTGTGTATCATAAAACACGGTGTTTGGGGTTTCTTGTGGTTCCTATTATCCGTCGCGAACTTTAATATGATTTCGCTTTTCTGTAGAACACAAGCGGCAAACATTGCAAAAAAAATCTGGATGGGAATAGAACTCTTTCTCATCATCTTTTTGGAGACTCTCTTAAGTCTACTCATAGACCACTCCTTGCCCACCTCCTGCGGGTTAGGGGTTCAAGAATTTACCTGCGATAAGGCATGTCTGTCATAAGAGACCACTAAAATCCAATAGCTCCCGCGACAGTCGGGTCTTAGCACCGAAACGACGGATTTTTGTCCGGCCAGTCACTCCCGCAACATTCCTCAAAAAGTACTGTGGGGCTACAACAACAACAACTTCTCCTCGCCCTATAACCCACATTCAATTTGGTTTTTGGAGGATTCAAATATAACATTACAGTTTAATTATATAATAATATGGGATAATAAATAAATTAAAGGAAAACACAGAGATTACGAACTGCAAAAGTAGTCATAAATAATTATTCAGCCTTTCTTGTTGGCATCACATTCCGATTTGCCATAGGCACTCTTTTCGAACAGCATATCCTTGAAACGTTGGTTTCGTTTACTTTCCATGTTGTAGCGTCGAAAAATGTCACGTCTATTCTCTAGCGCAGTTGTAACATCCTCACAATCCTTCGAGGGACCCATAATCGCCCACGAGCCGAATATGGTATCAATAGCACCGCAGACACGGCAGTAGCCTGCAAAGAACCACAGCAGTACATATATACATACATATATGCCCAAGGCGCAATACATGTTAGCTGATAAGCATAATTCCTTACCCACGAAAGTAGCCACTATGCTTAAGTCACGATTCTGCGAGTACAGATAGAAGGGACCACCCTGCTGATTGAGTGCGCTCCCCATGAACTTCCAGCTGGTATCGATAATATGATGAGCGTGCGGTGGCACACGTTCGCCCACTTCGACACTAAGAAGTTTATTATTCTTCTCAGCCGCGCCCAGGCGACGATCCGCGGCTTTACTCAGAGAAATATCGAAGCGTAAGCCCATCTGATTGGAGTTCCACGAGCCAACAATATCGCAGGGCATACCTGAAAGTGCAAATAACTCAATAAATATAGACATTTTATATGAAAGCTCTTACCATCCGGTTCACAGCTATCATCCTCAAAACTATCTTCCTTGCCTTTACACGATTGTAAGCTCTCCAGCCTGGTGAGCACCTTGTCAAGCACGCCAGCTATACGTGTTGCCTCTGCGTCATTTGGTTGTTGTGTGTTTGCCAGCGTTGATGGGTATCTTACAGGTGATCCAATATTATTGGCCTGATCTTGAGCGGGTGTAGGCGCAATTGTAGTTTTTGTAATTGCAGGCGTGGAAGGAGCAGCATGTGCAGAACGGGCTGTTAATTCTGAAATCAAACCATATGACTGGGCATCGTGTGGCATTAACGGTACAGGCACACCTGATGAATCCGGCCCTAATAACGGCAGACCCGAAACTATAGTGACTTCATTTAGCGGTGACTTTTTAGCAACAGGAGTTTGACTCGGATTTTGGCTAGGTGCTTGGTTAGGTTGTGGACTTGGATTTTGTTCCAATTTACTGTGCACTAAATCAGCGATATTAACTCAGATACTATAATGCATTTTACACGCATACTCGTACATATACGTATGCACTTGTAGTACTTACCCGCCATATCGATGAATTTGTGCATTTCCGCACCCAGCTGTGGATCCTTCTTGGCTACGAAATCCAGCGGATTAGACATAGCCGCCAACTTTTTAGCCAAATCCAGCGTCGTCATATTCATTTTGGTGGCCACCGAAGCGAGTAGATTTTTCGGCTCTGTACTGCCCAGCAAACCCAAACTCGCATCTGCCGATTTCGTCAATACCGCTGGGTATGAAGCACCATTTGCTGCACCCATGCCATTCGCCGCACCTGCCATGAAATTAAGTGAGTCAGCACCAAAAATTGTCGCACCTAGGTCCATGGCATCTAAGCTACGTTTATCTTCCTGTTTATTCAATTTATCAATCGCTTTATCGATCTGAAGTAGCGCTGCGGAGCCCGCAAAACTACCCGGCGCATCGCGCATATTTCCCGGCATTGCCTTGGCATCATCCATCTGTATCGTAGCCACGAGTCTTTGTAAGGTGGGCGAGGTAAGATCACGTTCGTCAACCTCTCCATACGTGCGACATAAGCGCTCATTGCTCTCCTTGTATAGTTCGCGGGTCAATTCGTCTAGCTTGCGTTTATATTCTTCATAGAAGTCTTGTACTTCAACTTTGTCTGCTTTACTACATTTGGCTTCCGACGTTGTAACAGGCAACATGCCGGGCGCATCGCGGCCACTGCGATCGTATATTTTTTCGCCAATAAACCCCAACTCATTGCCTAGTTTATCGAGTCGCTTCTTGTATTCTTCATATAAGTTATCGCTGTTGGCCCGATCAGCGGTCGAAAGAGCAATAGCAGAGCTTGTACGTTTAATTGCCTTCGCTGGCTCTACAAATTCCATATTGAATTTGTCCAAACGTCGCTTGAATTCTTCGTACAGGCAATTGCTTACCGCAGAGCGTTTCTTCGGCTTGTCATTTTCGAACTCGATCTGTACTGGCGGCTGTGTGACTGCCGGCGTGTTGACATTGTTGTAGAGTTCGTGAAACACTTGATTTAAACGCTTTTTGAACACATCGTACAAGAAACCGTTATAAGCCATCTCCGATTCCGTATGTGTTTGATCCGATTGATCGCGTGTGGTCGTGTCCGTAGGCAAACTGAACTTGTTCGCCGAGTCAAATTTAATGGGTAAGTCTATTTCGCTGGAATCGGTATAATTTTTTGTATTCAATTCATTGATGGCTTTCCCTTTGTCCACTTGAGCGTCTGACTGACTGGCGTTACTAGCTGAACCTTTTGTCGTCGTGTTGGACTTGTTTGTTTTACATTTTGGTTTGGGTTTTTTATTTTCTGTTGCTTTATTTGGTCTCTTCTGTGGATCACTGCTCGTACCACTGCTTTCTCGCGCTGCTTCCTTTTCTTTCATCTCAGTTTTACTCTGCCGCACATCCTGCACCTCAACGTCCGATGCGTTTTCCTGACTATCTTCTTGTATGGACTTATTTTTGATCTCGGTCTTTTTTACCCCCGGTTGTCCGTGGTTCTTACACATTGCTGGGACCACGAAAAGTAGCTTCAACAAAGCGAAAATTAGACAATAAGTAACAACTGAATTCATTGCAGCCCGATTTTCCCATACCAAAACCTGATTTGTTATTATTTTATATTTAAAAGCTTCAAAAAATATTGAATAAATCAAAGTGAAAGTAAGACATAAAACTCAAAAAAAAAAAAAAAAAAAATAACGAAAAAAAAACACTCAAAAATATGTTTCAATAATCGTTTTGAAAATAATCGATTGTTACTTTATTAAATTCAAACCAAATGATTACTTTGTTCTTCTATTTTGAGCCGACTCTTCTTATTTGAACTTCGGCACCGGGAAGAGCTCGTCCCAGACCTGGAACCTTTCAGTGAAAACACCACCTTCCTTCACATCCAAGTCTTTTCCGATGACCAAATATGGTTTCTTCTCGTTATTGTAGACTGGCCATTTTAGATTCTTCAAATACTCATCAGTGGCGTTGTTCGGATCTCTGGAAATATAGAAAAAAAACATATTATTGGATGAGTGCATATGTTCGTGCCCGATTCCGCTGGATGCCGTTCGAATCGTATACATATTATATATCGTTGGAAAGGTGACAGACCGAACTGTAAATCAAGCATAAAATAACTTCATTTTGATTTGAGTTGCATATTATGTTATACGAATTCCGCAAAGGAAAAACAGTTGGCGCTGCAACTAAAGATATTCGCGAAGTTTATTTGGACCGTGCTCCAGCACTCCGCACAGTAAAGAAATGGTTCGCGAAATTTCGTTCTAGAGATTTTAACCTCGAAGATCAACCTCGCAGTGGACGACCTTCTGAGCTTGATGACGATGTTCTTCGACGGAAGAGGTTGCCAATGAATTGAACGTCAACAAATCAACTGCGTTTCGTCGTTTAAAAAGGTTGGGTATACTTTGAAGCTCGATACATCTTGACCCCTTTTTCAATGATGTGGCACCCATCAGTTGAGTGAAAAAAACAAAGTGGACCGTATGTCAACAGCAATTTCTTTGCTTCGACGGATCAAAAACGAACCTTTTTTGGATCGGCTCGTGACTGGTGATGAAAAATGGATCCTGTACAACAATGTTCAACGCAAAAGAACAAGGAAACAGGCAGGGCGGAACCGATGTCGAAAGGTGAATTGCATCCGATGAAGGTACTGCTGTGCATTTGGTGGGATATCCGAGGCGTGATCTATTTTGAGCTCTTGCCAGCTGGAGAAACGATCACTGCCAACAAGTATTGTCAGCAATTGGTCGAACGCCAGGCCATATGTTGCAAAACCGACCCTGGCCAAACTGAAGGAGATGAATTGGGAAATCATGCCGCATCCCCCATATTCACCCGACATTGTACCTTCTGATTATCATTTGTTCGATCGCTGTAGAACAATTTGAATGGAAAAAATTAAAAATGTGGAAGACGTCAAAATCCACCTTGACACCTTTTTCAACGGGAAACCGCGCGATTTCTATGAATCAGGCATCCGTAAATTGGTTGAACGTTGGGAGTGGATTGCCAAACATGATGGCGAATACATAATTGATTAATAAAAGCGCTTTCTTCAAAAAATTTCAATTTTAGTTTGCACTTGAAATCGGGCACGAACTTATGCACTCATCAATATTATATCTCATCTTATTTTATTTTATTTAATTTTATTTTATTTTGTTTAATTTTATTTAATTTAATTTGTTTTAATTCATTTTATTTTATTTTACTTTGTTTTATTTTTATTTGTTTCATTTCATTTTATTTTTTTCAAATTTCTTTAATATCATTTTATTTAATTTAATTTTATTTTGTTTTACTTTATTTTATTTTATCCAGTTTCAATTTATTTTATGTTATTTTGTTATATTTATTTTTTTACATTCTTCTTTTTACCATAAGTTAATATATTTTATTTTATTCTGTTTTACTTTATTTTGTTTTATTAATTTTATTTTTTTATTTTTATTTTATTTTTTTCATTTTATTTTATTATTATTTTTTTATTTTTTTTTTTTATTTTTTTTATTTTATTTTATTTTTATTTTATTTTTATTTTATTTTATTTCGATTTTTTTAATTTTTTTTTAATTTTTCTATATTTTATTTTGTTTTTTTTTTATTTTATTTTATTTTATTAATTTAATTTTTTTATTTTTATTTTTTTATTATTATTGTATGTTATTTAATTTTAGTTATTTATTTTTTTTTTTACTTTGTCTTATTTTATTGTAGTTCTCTTATTTTATTTGGTTTTAATTAATTTAATTTTTTTGTTTTGTTTTATTTAATTTCATCTTATCTTACTTTATTTTATGTTATTTTATTATGTTTAATTTTTTATTTAATTTTATTTTTTTATATTTTTTTTTCATCTAATTTTTTTTTTTTTATTATATTGTTATATTTTATTTTATTTGCTTGAAAAGATAGTGGCTACTATAATGTCTGCAATGTATACAAGGCTTGCCTTCCACATATATTTGGTGTCTTTGCCATAATCATCGTAATAATTTCCCGATAACCATTAACAACATTACACTTCTAGCAACAAGCAATCAGGAGTAAGAAAAGAACCAAGAAAAGTAAAGGCTAAAAATTTATTGGGCTTAGCAAGCGGTCAGGCTGTTCTCCCACTAAGCTACATTTCACCCATCTTTATCTCTATCTTCGGCAACAACTTCATACGACAAATAAATACGATTATTTTTATTTAATGCCCTATAAGTGGAAGTGTGTGTGTGTGTGTTGAGTCATTCATGATGATTGTAATCAATGAAAACAAGCGATGAAAGAAATTCCTTGGAATAAAGTAAATAACAGCAGAAATAAGTACCGTAAGTGGTGGATCGCAGCAGAAAGTGGTGGAGTGTAGTCACTGGAATATTGCGGTCACTTCAATTTCTTTCAAAAACTTGAGCTATCAGAGTGCAGTTTTTATCGCCAATAAATTCAATTCAAAGCGTTGACAAACTCACATTTTCTCAAGTTTTATTCTAACAGACGTAACAGAAAAGCTTTCGTATATGACACATACCTATGAGCATTTCAGGGTCAAAATATTTTTCTATATGAAAGCGTGTGCGTAAGGCATGCTGGTGTGTGATACTTTCTTTAATGGAAATTGCGTGTTCGCTTCATCAGGTAGATTGCTCTTAATGAACAATATTTACTTTTATTTTGAAAAGGAAGGAATGGTTGACCAAATGGGAAGGGGGTGTGCATATATGATGTGGAAGCAACGATGCTTTCATATAATGAAATTAACGTTTGAAAATCATGATGGCACAAAGATTTCACTCAAGGTTTCAACATATCAAATAGATTCTGTCTTTTTTTTTCAATAAAATACATTTAAAGTCCTTCGCAGCTCTTTTAACAATTAAAGGCAAAACAAGAATACCTCTTTTAACTTGCAGTTAGTAAAATGATTGCCGAAAGAAAAATATCCTCAAAGTCCACAACATTTGATTTTATTGACGATAATTGCAATTGTGTAAAAGGGATCAATTTACCCAGACGGCAAAGCCTTTGGGTAAACAATTATCGCTTTTCTATGGAGCAATTAATTTGTAGGTTACGGCGAAATGATTTCATGCTTTTGTATTTGTTAATTGTATGAAACTGAGCTCATGTGTTTGCTTTTGTGGTTAAGCAGCGAAGAAAGGAAAGGAAATGTAATAGGATATCTTTGCTTCACTTTCTAATGGAATTAGTTTCAGTTAGTGGCAGTGAGGATGAAATCGGAGATAATAGAAAAGTAATAAATGTAGCGTCAAATATGTTTCGTTAGCTATGAAATATTTCAGCAGGCGGAATTAAATAGAATTTCATAAAAAATAGAAATGAAAAATAATAAAAATTAAAATTATTGAGCGGTTATCTTCAATTTTATTCTTGGGTGAAATGCTTTTCACGAAAACTACATTTAATTTTATTTTTTTATATTTACTATCGTTAAGTCTGTTGATTTTTATTAATATTTTGGATGCGGAAGCATTAGAATATACATTGAACTGAAATAAGGTCATATGATTTACTTCGGAAACTTCTTTAATTGTTTTGAAGTGAAGTAATGTGATACGACCATACAATGTGATGTTATATAATGTGACATGTGATGTGGTAATGCTATGGGGTGGGCCATAACGTTTATGATGTATATAGATACGATGTGATGTGATAGTATATAATATGATATGATGTATGTAGGTACGATATGATATGATTTGATTCTATATAATGTGATATGATGTGTGTAGATATGATGCGACGTGATATTTTATATTGTGATATCATCTTTGTAGATACGGTGCGATGTGATATTATATAATGTGATATGACGTATGTAGATACGGTGGGATGTGATATTATATAATGTGATATGACGTATATAGATACGATGTGATGTAATATTATATCATTAATTGTAATATGATGTTAGTAGATACGATGTCATGTAATATTATATAATATATAACATAGATGATAGAGAGTTGATATAATCTGATTTGACACGATGTGGTTTTATGTGATAAGATGTGATTTGATGAATGGTGATATGATGTGATGTATGGTCATGTGATGTGATGTTATGTACGCGGATATGATGTAATATAATGTGGCGTGATGTAGGGTGACTTGATGTGCTATAATGTGATGTGGTATGATGTGATGATATAGTGAATGTTGGAACGATTTAGAGCTGATTTAAAACTCCATACGTGGGAATGATCATATGATGATGTAATAGTCAAGTATATTTTGCAGAACTAGATACATTTTATGTAAAAGGAATGTAGAGCGATGGAAGGTGAATTGCGTGATGTAATGCGATAAGAAGTTGTATAATGTGACTTTATTTAATACAATGTGTTGCGCTGTGATGTAATGTGGAAGCAAGTGATTTGATGTGATGTGATGCCTTGTCATGTCAAAGGTTGTGTCAATTCAATGGCTAAAATTCAGCAGGAATTCAGAAGTGCAAGCTCCTCTCTCAAATAATTCGTCAATCTATCAATTAAAATAAAATAATATTGAAGAGACAAAATTTTGTATGAATAAGTTTTCACTAAAGTGAATTCAGATCGCATGATGGCGTAGATGAACATATAGGCATCAAATTATTTAAAAAAAATTGATTCGA